CTCACCGCAACCTCCGCCTTCTGGGTTCAGGCAATTCTCCTGCCTCAGCCTCCTGAGTAGCTGGGATTACAGGCACGCGCCACCATGCCCAGCTAATTTTTTGTATTTTTAGTAGAAACAGGGTTTCCATGTTGACCAGGATGGTCTCGATCTCTTGACCTTGTGATCCACCCGCCTCGGCCTCCCAAAGTGCTGGGATTACAGGCTTAAGCCACCACGCCCGGCCCTTTTTTTAAAATTTAATCTATATTTCTTCTTTTTTCTAGGATATCCCAATCCTGATGAAGGAATGCTTGACAGTTTGGGTTGGTATAGCTACCATGACTAATATAAGTGGTAGTATGTGTAGAAACATGTAGGTAATTACAGTTACTATGAGGTGCCCCAACATAGGATCCCTAGTAGGGTAAGATAGCTTTCTTAAATGCTGTGTTTGTAGGTAGGTTAAAATATATAAAACACAATTTTCTTTCCACATTATATTGTTATTTTATGATGGCAATCCATAGATAAATTTTCTTTCTATTCATACCTTATATACATGAACCTTAAAGTAATCTAAGTTGGGTTCATATTCTATGTAACAAACTGGTTTAACACACTTGATGGAGGCTCACGCAGTTCACATAATACATATTAAAGAAAATGATGACATAGTTGTGATAAAGGCCAATGAAATATAAAGATTTCTTAATAAGTAAAAAATGACAACAATCTATTACTTTTCATTTCTTAGACTAGTTTAGTAATGGTTAATCATTTTACATAATGCACCTTAGGCTTGTTAAAAAGTGTTTGCCTTACCTCCAAAATCTGTGGTCCAAGTCTCATTGTGCCAGTAAATCTGTTTCCATCTGCATCCATTAAACACTTGATAACTGTTTATGAGATGAGAAAAGCAAAGTTAAACATGGCACTTTATGCTTTAACTTATAGCAATTTGATTTATAGCAAAAGTAATGTCAGTTTAGAAGCAAAGGTATTACGGACAGAAACACTTCTAAAAATTAAGATTTTGTAGGATTATTTCATGTTCTCTAGGTAGTCAAAAATGTATGCTCAAGTTTCTCTGTATATTTTTTTATCCATGTGTGCCGTGGTGTTTCATTTATAAAGGGAATCCTATTGGTATTTAGGACCATGTCTTAATTTTGGGGCAGGGCAGAGTAGGGAAGTAGAGAGGATAGGAAGGGAATTGATAAAGTATTTTTGGTGAAGACTCTGTAAATACCATCTGGGTGATAGAATAATAGAAATTTATTTATGACTCACTCTACAGATCCACTTTTGGAGGAAAAAATACAAGTTAAATATCTACCAAAATCATGAGAAATGACAGAATAACTATTGAACTAAACCAACTCTCATGGGATAATAATTTTCAAAATTATTTTCCTCTAATGTAGTGAATTCTAATTGTTAATAACTTTACTGCTAAATAAGCTGATGTAGTAGCTATAGAGAAAAACAATGAAAAGTGAGGTTCCCATTAAGAGTTTCACATGTGGAACCCTTAACCTGGAAACTGAATAGAAGGATTATGTGATCAAAATGACCTGGATGCACTAGCAGTCATGCTAAAACTATATAAACTTTTTTTTTCTCTGTAGTGTTGTATTAGTCCATTCTTATGCTGTTATAAGGAACTTTGTGAGACTGAATAATTTATAAAGGAAAGAGATTTAACTGACTCATAGTTCTGCAGGGCTGAGGAGGCCTCAGGAATCTTACAGTCGTGGAGGAAGGGGAAGCAAACACATTCTTCTTCACTTGGTGGCAGGAAGGAGAAGTATGAGAGCCAAGTAAAGGAGGAAGCCCCTTGTAAAACCATCAGATCTCATGAGAATTTACTATCACGAGAACAGCATGGGGGAAACTGCCTCCATGATTCAGTTACCTCTCATGGGCTCCCTCCCATGACATGTGGGAATTATGGGAACTACAATTCAAGATGAGATTTGGGTGGGGACATAGGCAAACCATATCAAGTGTTTAGATGATCTGATTGAAATAAATCCTATCTGGAGATCTGTGTGTTCAACATCTTTGAACTGCTTGCTTTCTCAGATGAATGGGCCATTGCTCTGATTGTTATTGCTATACGTAAGTATCACAAATTTTGACGTCACTTAAGTCAAAACATTGTGAAGACATGCATTTTAAAAATAGTTTTTCAGTTTCTATAGTTTTTATAGCTTGTAAATTGGTTGGTTAATTAAGCCAATTTAGGAAAACCTGACCTTTTATTTGATATACTTACTACCTGCTTTGTGTTAGTGATTTTATATTCTGTTATATTCTATGTATCCACCTAGTAACAAAGCCTAAGTAATACATATTTTCTCAAGATGATCAGTAATAGGAGTTGGCTTCCCAAATGTGCTTTCGATATTTTTCTAGATTAAAGCAAGGACTTTTCTCTGACTTACTATGCACTGTGTAAGTGATTACGGGGAGTTGGATTTAGATAGCAAAGAGTCTGGATGTAATATAAATGTGTAGGTGCTTAAATAAAATAATATTTGACCACTGAAATGTAACCAACATTTATTTCTTCTGCTAGATTTTTAATCTTGGTGATGAGTTTTCAGAATTACATGTCATTTGTTTCCTGGTTTCTTGTAGTTGTTGCAATTGCAATAATTTCTGTTGGCCTGCACAGATATCTTCAAAGAAAGAAGAAGAAAGGGTAAATTAAAGCATGTTTTTTCTAACTTCTTAGTCTTTCTTATCCTTGACATGCTTTTGTACAGTTTAAGTTTGTAATCTTGAACTCCTGACCTAAGGTGATCCACCCACCTCGGCCTCCCAAAGTGCTAGGATTACAGGCGTGAGCCACTGCGCCTGGCCTAAGTTTGTAATCTTAAGTATTGCATGCTATCTTTTTTTCAGACAATGTGCCTGCGTTAGTGTGTCCTACCAATTGCATTTCTTTACTAAAAATATTTTCAGCTTTTAACATCGCTACAGCATAAAAAGTCTGTGCAAGTTACTACGGCTATTATGACTTTAAGAAAACTTCTCTGGAATTTGAGGTTTAAATTATTTAACAAATCGTGACCACTATGAGGCCTTCTCTACCCTAACTATTCTCTGTTTCTTAAATTGCACTGGTGGCCAAAATTAAATCTAAAATATTTCACTGTGGAGACTATGACAGTTGTATGCACTAGAATTTTTATAATGAAAGTTTCCACTTGTCTGTATAACTTAGCTAGTTATAAGAAGCTATGTAGGCATCTCATTTAAATACCCAATTTGATGTCGTTTCATTTGAGTTGTTATTTATACATGTTAAACTGGGGGATTAAAAACAACGCTATCTGATTTCCCTCTTATGCCCTATGAATTTACCAGATTGCAGTAAAACTGATGGGGTTAAACTTGCTGAAAGGGGTTAGATTTATAAGATACCTTAATTAACTTTTGTGTGTCTTTTAATCTATAAAAATGTAAAAATCGAGTGGGCTTAGAATAGTAGAAAATTGTAAAAGTACGTATCTTCTAACAAAAATAGGGTTTTTAAACATCAAACTCAAATTTTAGTTAGCTTACAATTTAACAGAATACTTAGAATGAATCCTGGAACATAAACTAAGATTAGGTGCTTCAAAATTTCTGAACGATAATATACATTCATGTTTATTGATTTTTTTAAAATGTTGCCCTCTATAGTTTTAGAAATAGCTTTGAAATCTAACCTAATTAAGATTTTTGGTACTCATGATTTTATGATATATATATCCCTTTTATACTGATTATCAAGTTTGGGCCAAGTCATAAAAGTACATTCTTTACTCAAAAGAAACTCAAACTTTTTTCATATTACTTGGTTATCTTTTAAATACCCATAATCCCTTCACTTGAATCTTAAATCTTATATTTATGGAATGTGATATGCATAGTTGATTTATCTATCAGTTGTATGTTTTAAAAGTTACATGTCTACAGCAATGTGAGTACAAAATACTAATAATGGAATATTTGCACAAGTCCATAAGATTTGTGTATAAACAACCTCTAAGGAAAGCAAAGTCACATTCTGCTCATTTTCCTTCTTTGTTTAAAATATCACTGCATTAGAATTTTTAAAGGTTACTTAACAAGTATTAATCAAACTCTCTCTAGCTAGCAGTTAATGGGTCTCTTTTTTTTTTTTTTTTTTTTTTTTTTTTTTTTTTTTTTTTTTTTTTTTTTTTTTTTTTTTTTTTTTTTTTTTTTTTTTTTTTTTTTTNTTTTTTTTTTTTTTTTTTTTTTTTTTTTTTTTTTTTTTTTTTTTTTTTTTTTTTTTTTTTTTTTTTTTTTTTTTTTTTTTTTTTTGAGATGGAGTATCATCACCCTATCGCCCAGGCTGGAGTACAATGGCACAACCTTGGCGAGTTCAAAGGATTCTCCTGCCTCAGGCTTCCAAGTAGCTGAGATTACAAGCATGCAATACCACCCCGGCTAATTACAAGTGCACAACACCACCCCAGCAAATTTGTTGTACCTGTACCAAAGACCAGTTTTCACCATGTTGGTCAGGCTGGTCTTAAACTCCCAACCTCAGGTAATCTGCCTGCCTCAGCCTCCCAAAGTGCTGGGATTACAGGGATGAGCCACCACACCTGGCCTTAATGGATCTTTTAAAACTGAACAGTTATCTGACTATTGTACTCCCAAATTAATGGTTCAATAGCAATAGTGAAGTGAGATTGCAAAATTAATTTGGTGATTTTTTTAAAACCCATATGTTACATAGGGTCCAACAGACAATTGCTATTATTAAAATTTTAAAATATTTTGGGAAGGTGTAATATCTTTAGCCAATGCAACATAAGTAATTCTGTAAATAGTAGCACAACTTGAGGAAAAATCATCCAAAAAATAGTGTGAGAGAGGAAACTCATGATTGCCTTTGAATTTTAAAATATAAACTGCATGGGACTCTTTTAGAATAGATGTTGCCCTTTTTATGACAGGAACATACTCGATTGGAAATTCAGTGTAATATGTATGGCTGAATCCAAAGCTAGGCTCTCCTTATGGATCTGTTATTTTGTAGTTCCTGTTTATTTTGATAGCTGAATTGAATGTGAGAGTGGTTTATCTTTCTTCTTCAGAGTCTAGAGCAAATGCTTCTCTGACTTTAATGTGCACATTAATTACCTGGAAATCTCTTAAAGTACAGGATCTGATTCATACGGTTTGGGGTAGAGCCTGAGACCCTGCCTGTCTAGTGAGCTTCCAGCACTGATGCTGGGCTTGGGCTGCATTGACCAGGGTGTCGACCACTACTGATGTGCCCATGTTGTTGAGATCTGAAGAAATGCTATCAAGCTTACTGGCAAATTTTTCTAATGTTAAAGATAATTGGAGTTTTTAAAATTCCCCATCCGTGTGTATCCTTAAAAAAAGGCTCTGGGGTAATAAATAGTACTTGGCTTGTCTTACTTTTTTTTTTTAACTCCTTAAAAACATAAAGATTTCTATTATTTTCTTTGCACTGTTTAATGTCCATAATCTCGTCCCCCCAGATTGGCTGTTTTGGCCTTAGAAACTTCTTATAAAGATTATAAAATGTCTAGAGTTACTTCTCTACTTCCAGGGGTAACTGGAAGCAGGCTAGCAGGCACAAATAATCGCAAATTGCTGTTAAAGCCTGGCACAAAATATATTTGATGTAAACTGGTATTTATGATGATTTGGGAACATAATTACCCTTCTGCAGCCTTCATCTCAAAGTACAAAAATAGTGTAAGTGGTCATTTTAAGATCATCCAACATCATTTACATTACTTGATGAAAGATGGCCAAAAGGCTAAAGGATTCTGCTTTCGTAGCTCTCAGCTAAAAACAGTATAGGATACCAATTGGTCCAAAACAGCTCCCATCCACATGCTCCCTCCTTTTCTCCTCCCATTTCCTTTCTTTACTAATTCTTCTACCATACTTTTTAGTCTTGGAAGCCACAGCCCTGTCTTTGCTATTGCTTGAGTTCTGTATTGCATGGTATGACTGTACTTCTGAACAACATATGATTTTTGTTCACATAAATATTTTCATTACTTGTAATGATTTTTTAACTCTAGTTAAGTTGTCCCTGACCATGTGACAGTTTGGCTAAGTTAGTAAAGTTATTTGCATAATTTATGTATTTATTACCTGTAACAAATTGTTTTTCCTTTTTTCCCTTGGGGTATTTATTATTTTGTATAACCTAAACTGACTTTTAATGTTACATTAATGTTGACTGACCCAATTACTTTGTTAAAAATAGTGGTCAGGCTGGGCTTCGTGGCTTACATCTGTAATTGCAGCACTTTTGGAGGCCGAGGCAGGCAGATCACCTGAGGTCAGTAGTTTGAGACCAGCTTGGCCAACATGGTGAAACCCCATACCTACTAAAAATACAAAAATTAGCTGAGCGTGGTGGCACACACCTATAATCCCAGCTACTTGAGAGGCTGAGGCAGAGAATCGCTTGAACCTGGGAGGCAGAGGCTGCAGTAAGCTGAGATCGTGCCACTGCACTCCAGCCTGGGCAACAAGAGCAAAACTCAGTCCCCAAAAAAATAAAAAGTGGTCAGTTCAGGTAATTGGGGCATATAGTGACATGGGGCAAAAGAGAATCAAATTAACTTAGATGTTTTTCTAGTTGGCTCTCAAATTCTTTAGCATTTGACCTTTCAAAAATGTTTCAGCAATGCCAAGGATGTCCCCTCAGATCGAAAACAGATGTGCCACAGGAAGAAGCTTCTCAATGCAAAACTCCAGAGACATCTGAAAATACATGATGTCATAAAGTTGATTCTAAGATAATAGTACATGGATTTAATACATACTCAATGTATTCCCTCAAAATTGAGGGTGTTAGGCAGGATTTGGTGGCTCATACCTGTAATCCCAGCACTTTGTGAGGCCAAGGCGGGCAGATGGGTTGAGCTCAGGAGTTTGAAACCAGCCTGGGCACATAGTGAGATGCTGTCTTTTAAAAAAAAAATCTGGTCAGGCGTGGTGGCTCACACTTGTAATCCTAGCACTTTGGGAGGCTGAGGTGGGCAGATCACAAGATCAGAAGTTCAAGACCAACCTGACCAACATGGTGAAACCCCGTCTCTACTAAAAATACAAAAATTAACCTGGTGTGGTGATGTGTGCCTGTAATCCCAGCTACTCAGGAGGCTGAGGCAGGAGAATCGCTTGAACCTGGGAGGCAGAGGTTGCAGTGAGAGATTGCGCCACTGCACTCCAGTGTGGGTGACAGAGTGAGACTCTGTCTCAACAACAACAACAACAAAAATTCATGGATGCTAGAGACCAGTATCATTTCTCCTCAACTATGAAAATATTTTGACATGACTCACTTCTTACAAAATGGTTTCAAAGATAAATATATTAAACAGGAATTTCCAGTCTGTTTATCTGCTGGATGATCTGTATGACTTCAAAGTTCAAGTAGCTCCTAACACAAAATTCATGCTTCTAGTCCTTCAGTGAGAATGAGAAAGTCTTAAGTCATGAACCTAATTCTCAGCTTTCCTGCCATTCTCTTCCATTGTGGATGTTAATCCCACTTGTTATGCTACTCTTGTTTCTTTTTGGTTTGAAGTCACTATTTTATTCAGTCCTTTTCCCTTCCTCTGTTCAGCACATACCTAACTGATGAAACCCACAGAGAAGTAAATTTTACTTCTCTCTGAGAAGAAGAGATGAGAGAAAGGTTTGCTTTTATCATTAAAAGGTATCTGCTTTCTGTTGTTTCTTTTCAGATGTCCTTTCTTTTGAAAAATATTCAGTGGATATATAGATACCAATAATCTGAGCAAAGAGATATTGGGAGTAAATATCAAAGAGGAAATTTACTTTCCTGTTCCTTTGCTAAATTATTGTTTTCCCATACCATTCCTTTTGAAAACATAATGTGTACTGACAGACTTTTGCTTTGACGTAGGCTTTAAATAGAGTTGTTTCCCCATCAGACTACCTCACTTCTACCTTGTAAAACAGCTGTGAGTCCAAAAGTAAGAATTTGTGAGCCCAGGGGGAAGTAACCACAGAATCAGCTCATTTTAAGTACAAGGGGGAGAAATGCCCTTTTATAGAAACCAAAATAAATTTTATTTAATTTTGTAAATTTATTCGGTTACAGTGTATAAATAACGCTATAAAGGCATTTTATCAGTTTCCCTGGGCTGGGATATTTTTAGCATATTAAAGGAAAACAAAAAAGTCCTCAAATTTTGAAGAGTAATGGATTGCATTGCCCTAAACCCTTGACCCTTTCCACCTTCTGTCTTTGGATTTAATTAGAACTATTCCTCTATGCTAGAATATGTATCTGCAGAGCTGGGAAGAGAGGGAGATACGTATCCCACCTCTTATAATGTGAGGCCCTACCTTAGGTTATAATCAAAAGTTTGGGAGCAGGATCTACGAAGGCCAGTTGGAAAGACAATTTCTTAGGAAAAGCAAAGTGGTGTCTTTGATCACAGAGGGAAAGAGAAAGACAAAACATACCCACCAGAATTGGCAGTCAGAGCCTACCGAGTCCTTCCTTATCCACGGGGGAGACATTCCAAGACCTTGGATAGTACTAAACATATACATATACTGTTTTCTCTTATACATATATACCTATGATAAATTTTAATTTATAAATGAGGCACAGTAAGAGATTAACAGCAATAAGTAATAATAATATAAAACAATTAGTATGCCAGCATCACGGCTCTTGTGCTCTGGGGCCATTAAGTAAAATAAGGATTACCTAACCACAGGTACTATGTATAACCAAGACAGCTATTGAGTAACAGGCACATAGTGTCCACAGCATGGGGATGCTGGACAAAGGGATGATTTACATCCCAGGAGGGGCGGAGTGGGACGGCGTGAGGTATCACGATACTCAGAATGGTACACAATCTAAAACTTACTCTTTCTGTAATTTTCCATTTAGTATTTTTGACTGTATTTGTGGGTTGCTGAAACTGTGCAAGTCAAACTGTGAATAAGAGAAGACTACTGTCTCTTCTTAATCTCTTAGGATACTTTCGAGGCTAAAGCCAACTAGGAAAATAGTTTCTAGACTCTCTCTGAGCTTCAGTGTGTCTGTAAACATTTGAAGATAATTTAATGAATGCTGTTGTTAATAAAGATAATTGCAATTAGTAATCCAATTTCAAATTTTTGCTATTTTCAAAATAGCTTCATTGTTATAGCCAATAAATATATATTTTTAAATTTATGTTAATGGTTTTTATCTTTGGCATAGATTGGATTTCTATTTAAAACTTTATTTAAAGAAAAGAGATTCTACTACTATGGGAAAAAAGTATTTACTTAGAAAAATATAGTGGTGGCCAGGCACGTTGGCTCACACCTGTAATCCCAGCACTTCGGGAGGCCGAGGCAGTTGGATCTCTTAAGGTTCAAGACCAGCTTGGCCAACATGGTGAAACCCTGGCGTGGTGGTGCATGCCTGTAATCCCAGCGACTCAGGAGGCTGAGGCACAAGAATTGCTTGAATCCAGGAGGAGGAGGTTGCAGTGAGCCAAGATGACACCACTGCACTCCAGCCTAGGTGACGGAACAAGACTGTCTCAAAAAACAAAAAACAAAAAAAAAAAAAAAGAGAGAAAAATATAGTGGTCTTGGAGAATTTAGTGAAAGTTTGCCAAACCATTAAGTCAGTCATCACAATAGTCCTTAGGGAACTGCAATATTATAAGTATAGTAGTAACACAATGGAGAACCATAACGATGGCCTCCCCGACAAAGAGAAACAAACCCATTGATGCCCGAGGTTGCAATTTTTTGAATTTTTGCAATCAGACCCTGGCAATGCCCTTGAGTAATAAGATATAAATAACTCCCACATGCTTGGTGTTCCAATAATGGAACACTAGGCATAAATGGGTTATTAAAGTATGCAAAATTAACATGCTTAGCTGTGACACTGGGAAGGCATCCCTGGAGTGTTTGTTGTGGCACACATACTGGTAAATAGGGACTGGTCCAAATTTAGTTTTCATTTGTCTACTAAAGTCAATTTACTAAGGCAGGGAGAGCCCAGAGCTGTGGTGTCCAATTCAATACTCAATAGCTATGTGTGGCTGCTAAGGACTTCCAGAGTGACTGGTTGTCAGGTATGCTGCAAGTGTCAAACACTAAGCACAAAATACGTAAAATACATGTCAATATTTAGGTTATACTGGGTTAAAGAAAATAAAATTATTTTTGCCTATTTATGTTTTTAGAAGTGGCTTCTAGAAAATTTTAAATTACACATAGGACTGGCATCATCTGTCTTTGGCCAGCACTAGACTAGAATAATAGATTTTACAAAGATGTCTATTGGTATAGTAAGAGTGTGATGTAAAGTTTAGTTATTTCGGAGATTCTCTTAATGGAATACATGATTTTCTTGACAGTGAGGGGTAGATGAGACATCACATACTTGAACAGGTAGAACCACTATCTTTTCAAAGGTTCTGTACCAGGGCTACAGCTTTAAAATGGAGGATCAGGAAAACATGTGTTTGTCCCTGGTCTTTCCCACTGACCCTAAATCAAAATGAGGACACAGTTACTAAGTGCTTTGGATGCTGCTGCTCTATTTCTTGTTTTGGAGGGGATCCAAAATATAAGTCAGAGATAAAGGAAGGTTTTTTTTTTTGTTTTTTTTTTTTTGTTTTTTTTTTTTTTTTTTTTTGTTTTTTTTTTTTTTTTTTTTTTTTTTTTTTAATATTTATTTTTTCTTAGCAGTGAGACCAGTTAAACGTTTGAAATTATTTTAAAAGAATAATTTATTTCTCAAGTTGGCAACTCAGTACTATATTTGTTAATTGTTCATTTTCTCAATAGTCTTCTGGAATTTAATTTCTGTACTTAATTATATTTATCTTTGACACAATCTTTATACCTTGCTTTGCAGGAAAACAGATGATACAGCTGAATATGCCACTTACCAGAGTAAATCAGCCACTTTGGCAGAGCAAAGAAGCTGAATGGATTCCACTACTTGGTTTGCCAGTTCATCTTTTGATTGTATTAAAATCTGCTCATGCACAGTAGTTACTCTCTAGTTTCACTCTCATGAGTGCAACTGCAGCTTACCTAACATTCCATTGTGGCTTGAATATAGCTTTGATGGTTCTTTGAAATTTGTTATCAATTTGGGTATAAACATATTGCCTGTTTTCCTTTAAATAACGCTCAGATTTATTGGACCAGTCAGCATAGCATGCCTGGTTGTATTAAAGTGGGGAGGTGCTTTATTTTATAAAATTGGCAAAATTAGAGAAACACAGTTCAAAATGAAATTATATTTTCTTTGTAAAGAAAGTGGCTTTGAAGTCTTTTTTGTTCAAAGATTAATGCCAACTCTTAAAATTCATTCACCAATTGTAGAGTTTATTTTATCTAATGTTCATTATAAAAAGCCTAACAAATATATGTATGCTACTTTGGCTCTTGTGCATTAAAAACAAAAACACTGAAAATTGGGAATATGCGCAAGCATGACTTCCTTAACTAAAAATATTATTGGAAAATTCTCTAAAAGTTAATAGCATACATTCTCAATTTTTAAATGTGTTTGGTGATTTCAAAGCTAGAGAGTTTATGTGTGGCATTTGTTTTCACTTTTTAAAACATTCCTAACTGATCAAATACATCAGGAATTTCAGAATCAGATGCACACTTTCTTAAAAAGTAAGAGGACTCTGACACCCATAACAGGAGTGCCACTTCACAGTGTGGAGTGAATGCTGTGGCCTTGTGATTTTCCCAGAGAGAACTCTCTTATGTTGAGTAACCCACTCTGAATTCTGAGTACACATGTTTTTCTTTCCCTCCTTAAACAGAGGTGTTACTTTAAACATGCCTTCTAAAAGTAGGTAGTTTTGAAGAGAATTAAATTCATCAGATAACCTCAAGTGACGTGAGAATCTTAGTCCACTTACACTGCCTTGGCTACTAGAAGTCTCTTACCTATGTATTTGTCTTACCTCATCTCCTAAAAGAGTACAAAGTAAGCCATGTAACTCAAGAAGGTAACTTCACTTTGTCTATTTGCTATTGATTGTACCAAGGGATGGAAAACGTAAACAGCGGCTGGGCGTGGTGGCTCATGCCTGTAATCCCAGCACTTTGGGAGGCCGAGGCAGGCGGATCACAAGGTCAAGAGATCGAGACCATCCTGGCCAATATGGTGAAACCCCCTCTCTACCGAAAATACAAAAATTAGCTGAGTGTGGTGGTGGGCACCTGTAATCCCAGCTACTCAGGAGGCTGAGGCAGGAAAATCAGGGAGAACCAGGGAGTTGGAGGTTGCAGTGAGCTGAGATCACACCACTGCACTCCAGCCTGGCAACAGAGCAAGACTCTGTCTTAAAAAAAAAAAAAAAAAAAAAGGTAAATATAGCTCAGGTAGCAGATGTTGGCCCTGTACTGAGTCCCTTAGCCAAGCAGTCTCTTTCAAAGAAGCCAGTGGGCAAAAAGCAGTGACTGCCATCCAATTTAAATTACACTGTTAAAAGGTGTGTTTTGGGGACTGGGTGCGGTGGCTCACGCCTATAATGCCAGCACTCTGGGAGGCTGAGGCAGGTGGATCACAGGGTCAGGAGATCCCTATCCTGGCTTACAGGATGAAACCCCATCTCTACCAAAAATACAAAAAATTAGCCAGCCGTGGTGGCACCCACCTGTAGTCACAGCTACTTGGGAGGCTGAGGCAGGAGAATCGCTTGAACTCAGGAGGCGGAGGTTGCAGTGAGTTGAGATAGCGCTACTGCACTCCAGCCGGGGCAGCAGAGCGAAACTCTTCTCAAAAAAAAAAAAAAAAAAAAAAAAAAAATTACTGGGTGAAAATATATTGACTATGAATAGAGCATTTTGGAAAATCTTATGTGACCTTGAGACTAATGTATTTTTTAGATTGGCATAAAGTACATGGGGAGAGTTACTTTGTAAGGTAACTAACAATAAATCTGTAAGAATGCTGAAGGTGCTTGAAATTAGAAGGAATATGAATTTGTGGTGTTCAAGTGCATTTAAGCGTTTGTGGGAAATAGGCCACTCTGGTATTCTAAACCTTAGTAATGTCTTTCAGCTAACATTTTAACCAAGAAGGAGCTTTTCTGCATATTTTTAAATTTTGCATACTCGTTCTCGAGTAGGATTTAACGTGGAGTCTAATAACTTCCAGAAATGATTCAAAATTGAGTGATCGTACATATGTTTTTTTTTTTTTTTTTTTTCCTGGACTACACTGTTTTCATCAAAATTTCCAGGCTCACTCAGAAAAGATTACACCAATATGATGACTAATCCTTTGTAAATTGGAGCACTGCTGCCCTCCTGTGGACTGTTAGGGCATCTGACAATCCCTTCCTTACCAGCACAAGCAGAGTCACTATTCAGAAGTTTCAGTCGTTGCTGTGATTCCCAGAAGACATTTTAAATTTCATCTGAGATCTGGTATAAGACTAACCCTCTTCTGCTTCTTCTGTGACATCAATTACTTTTGTTTGACACAGGATCTCCTGTCACCCAGGCTGGAGGTCAGTGGCACAATCACAGCTCACTGCAGCCTCAACCTCCTGGGTTCAAGGGATCCTCCCAACCTAGCTTCTCCAGCAGCTGGGAGCACAGGTGTGCGCCACCATGCCTGAATACTTTTTGTATTTTTCTGTAGAGACAGGCTTTCTCATGTTGCCCAAGCTAGTCTCGAACTCCTGGCCTTAAGCAATCCACCTGCCTCAGCATCCCAAATTACTGGGGTTATAGGCATGAGCCACTGTGCCATGATTAACATTTTTAAAAGGGTTTTAAATTCTGTCCCTTATTCCTTAAATATTGGAGAAGTATCATATTGTGGATCTGTGGTCAATAAACAATTTTTCCTTCCTTCTCACTTACATACCAGCAAAATGTGAACAAATTGCCACAAGTATAGATAACATTTGAAAAAGCCACCCGTCCTGATTCCTGACTTGATAGTGCATAGCCCAAGGAAACCTGTACAGAGGTAGTAAAACTGATGTTAGGAGACTCCACCTCCATTTATAGATTTACCTCCCTCATGTAGCTTTTTTAAAACACTAAACTATTATTATATGCTGCAGTGGCAAACCCTGTGCCAAACTACTGTAAACAGGAGCCCCAGTATCCTGGTGCTTGGGGCTTGGGGCTTCATTGAGAGAGAATTCTAGGAACAAATGCTTACAGAGCACTTCAGAATGGTGTTTGGGAAAATTACCTATCATCCGATTAACCTCCTTCACCTGAAAGGGTTCCTAGGAAAAACACTCCGTAAATTTGTATTTAAGTTGGGACTCAATGATTAGAGAATTATTTGGTTAGGAACTCATAGCATCATGCTTCTCAAGTTTTAGTGTGCTAGTGAGTTACATAGTGATCTCCTTAAAAAGAAAATTCTGATTCAAAATGTATCGATTAGGGCCCGAGTTTCTGCATTTCTAATGAGTTCCTAAGAATTGCAATTTGTGTGGGCTGTATAATGGCCTCCAAAGATATCCAAGTCCTAATATCTGGAACCTGTGAGTGTTACTTTATATGGCAAAAGGGTCTTTGCAGATGAGATTAAGAAAACTGAAGTAGGGAGATTATCCTGGATTATCCAGGTGGGGCTCTAAATGTAATCACAAGGGTCCAAGAGGGAGGCAGAGGGAAATTTGACTGTGTTAGAAAACATTGTGGCCACTGAAGCAAAAGGCTGCCCTGCTGGCTTGGAAGACAGAGGGAGGGCGTGCAAACCAAAGAACGCAGCTCTAGCAGCTGGGGAAGGCAAGAAAACCTGTTCTTTCCCAGCACTTCGGAGAGAGAGGGGCCCTTGCAGTCCAGTGAGCTGATTTCAGGCTTCTGACATCTTTAATTGTAATAATAAATTTGTAATAAGACACCAAGTTTGTAGTAATTTTTTAGTGCACTCACAGGAAACTAACAGACCAGTGCTGGGGGCCCTCAGACCACACTGAGTAGTAAAGCGTTTTAGGAACAAGACCACAGAAGAGTGGCTCTCAGCTTTAAAAACCAAAGTGATGTCCAGGCCCACTCCCAGACCAGCAAAACCAGAGATTGTAGGGATGGGACCCAGGGATCACTAACTTAAAGGCTCTTTGGCTGAACTGAATAGGAAGATAGAGTAGGGCACCATCACATGAGAATAAACAACTTTCGTGTTCAAGGAAAAGTTGAACAGTGTTGAACAAGCTCCATCGAAGTATGGACACACTCGTCTGCCAGACACTCTTGTGAAACTACACCAGCTCTCAAAGTGAATGTCTGGACTGGTATCTTACACAAAGAATTATCCAGTTCTAGACTTATTTCTGTTAAACCTAAATTGGCCAAAGATTTGATTTGTCCCATCCACATTTATTAAGGATTCATCAGTGTTTACTTCCATAGGTGGGACGTGCCAGTCCGACTTGCGTGAGGCTTGAGGGTGCTATCAGTTTAGTAAGGCTCCCCACTTATCATTTTTTTTTCATTATCTGTTAACCAAGACCCACTTATAAATTTACAGCTAAAATATCTGATAAAATTTAGGTAAGCAGGACATATGCCCTACAAAGCATTTTCTACCTAGGTCGATAGCATGGCTTCATAAACCTCATTCAAGATGTTGTCTACAGAAGAAACATTCTACATAATTACCAATTTATTGTGCAAAATCACCTCAGAATGGCAATTTTAGGTAAAAAGCTGTCCATATCCATAAAAGATGAATAAAAGCTTGAGAGGCACCCCAGTAACATTTTGCTTCTGACCTAGCAATGTAGCACTATTTAAGCATTCAATGAGTGCCATAAACTTATTTTATGGAAAAGACATTGCAAATCATTGTTTTTGTGCTTTGATGCTGAAGTTGATTTAGCACTTACTCATTTGAGAACTAGAACCAGGGCCTCGTGAGAGCAAAAATCCATGTCTTGTTTATATTTGCAACACCTAGGCTGGAGCTTTGAGCGTGGTGGGTGGATCAAAAACTGTTTAATCAGTAGGGCATACAACAGACCCAAAGATGTCAGACCTGTAGATATTTAATACAATTGCAACCTATCTCAGGGGGAAGTGAATAAAACAATACAACTTAAGGTCTTAACACCAGCACTTAGGGTCTTCCCACCACCACATCCTGGGGATTAGAACATGGATTCTTCCATCAACAGCCTGAAATAGCACTGCAGCTGCAGTGAGGGGGTGCAACACATGCACTGGCAAATCTTCCCAGCAAATGCTACTTCCGCCCCCTCATTCTCAGCCCACTGGGCAGGGCAGCCATCTGGGGGAAAACTGTGGCAGGAGGTTGGGCTTAGAAAAGGCTTCCTAGGTGGCTGATTTGCCATCATTTATTGCAAGCCACTGGGTTGAGAGTTGTACTGCAGGTAGTTCATAGTCAGCCATGCACCTCCTGGGCAAAAAGCCTGATCAAGGGGCCACAGCCTGCCTTCCTGAAGATCCTACAAGCTTGATCCCCTATCAAGTCAAATCTGGCTAATCTGTGAATAGCTTTACAAAACTGGCTCGCCTTGTTTTCAAGTGTTGACATAAACTAACAGTCAAAAGCACCATTCAGTCTTTTACAAGTGAAATCAGTGCTGCACCCCTTCAAGGAACCATGTGACAGTATGTTCAGTTGAGCACAAGTTCCTTGCAGCAGGAGTTGCTGGCAGAAGGGCAGTGTCTACAGCCGTGTGGAACCAAGGACAGTTTTCCCATTCAATAGGGAGCATCCCTCAGCCTCTTGATCTTCATCATTTCTTCTCTTCCCTAATCTTTTCTCTCATTTTATTTCTTGGCTCATAGAATTTCATTCTTGTCTTAATGGGTTTCATTTTTAATGTCTGCCTTGCTGTAACCGACTTCAAATTCTTTATGAAGTAGGCAAGATCTGCATAGCAAATTAATTTTTCAGGAGCCACTTCTCATAGTCACAGAATTATGAATGGAAAACAATAGATGAAAAACACAGACATGATAAACTGAACATAGTATTTATTAAGGTCAGGATGCATGAACAGACTTCTCAATAGAAAGGTAATTCAACAGCAACCAATTTATAGAATTTATAGCAGTACTACATTTCGGCAAAATGCAACTGAGAACATCAGATAAATTACAGTAATTTGTTTTTAAAAATCCATTAAACTATCTCTTACCTCTGCAATAATGTATCATACATGCAGTTAAAGAAATTAGTAGGGAAAAGCGTGATCTTCCTTCCCCATTCTCTGCCCATCCATCTTCCAGGAAACCACAGGCTGCTGCTGGCCAGACTTGGCATGAGGCTTCGAGGCTGCTGCTTTTCCCCCTACATCATAACCGATTTCAAATGGTGCTAGACAAAAACAGACTCTGAACACCAGGAGAAATCGGTCAGCCTGTGTAAGAGATGGGCCAGTGGTGCTCCCAGGGTCTGCACCTCGACAGTACAGGTGGCAAGTCTGATTTCGGGTGCCCTGCAATGGATGCTGAATACTCCAGGGCATCCTCTATGAGTGGGCTGACAGTGCCGATGTGGATGAAATGGTTTCCAGGTGTACTGCCCTCTCCTTTGCCCCATGACAATACTCGATACATTGTTACCCAACGGAATATGACAATCAACACACCCAAAGGGCCTACCAACACATTCGTGCTGGTGACAGCTGCTAGGAGTCAAAATAAATAGCATCACAACCTCTGCCCCTGAGCAAACCACTGTGTTTATTTTAAACACAACCCCCTCCCCTACTGTCGCCCCTCCCAAAACCCAACAAACTCAAGAGTATATTTTGCTCTTCAAGTTCTTCCCTGGACTTCTTGAACAGACTCAAGTGGCAGGAGAGGAGGAGCCAGTCCCATGAGCAGCAGTTCCTCTGCAGTCCACCCTTGGCTGTGCTGCAATTCTTACTCCTAAAACACTGATTTCAAATGGTGCTAGATACAAAGATGGAAAAATCTAAGCCACCATGTGAAACCAGCTTCCAGAAGAAGAGGATCTCACTGAAGAAAGAAGAGAGATTCAATCAGAAGACCCAGCCTCTGCCCTGAGGAGAAATGTCTTCTTCCAGTTCTACTTGTGATATGACACAGTGCTCCTTGGGAAAGGCATAGAGGAGGTTACACAGGGCTGTGCAAAGTAACATGAACGTCACAGCTGATGCTTCAAATAGATGAGAGTAATACAAAGCTCATTAATTCTAGGTTAATTCTATTTAAATTCACAGCCAGTCACTACAAATTATATATATGATGAAATGGCAAAATTATTATGAAAATGCATTAATATTTACATTCGAACTACCTTGCATTTGCACAGTATTTCACAGTATACAAAGTTTCCAGGTATATTACCTTACTTCATCAGGTCACAAGCACCCTATCTGCGTGTGGATGGAATGAAGCTCTAGCCTACACAAAGGTGAGCCTCACCTGCCTAGGGCAACTCTTCCATGCGTCTTATTTGAGAATAGCATGCGTTCCTCCTTCCCACCCCACATATAACTATCAGAACATTCAAATATGACCCCGTCAATTTGCAATCTTAAACTCTGATGTGACTTTAAAAACTGGTACCCCATAATTTTATCAAGGAGACGATCCTCTAACATAAAAGAATTGCATTTTATTTTCAAAATCTGCTTGAAAATAAGATTTGCGCACCATATTCCAAATTAGATTTCCCATCTCCTTACTGCATCATCTTTTTCGGTTGTTTGAAGCTAAGAAAAATATGTGTATTTCCTCTGATACCATAACCAAGAGAAAAGAGACAGAACAGAAACTATCTTTTAGGTTCCCGACCAATTCTTCAGGCCTCTAGATACAGGCTTATAATTTTTATGGTTCCTGGCAATAACAGTATGTGTCACTAGAAGGAGAAGTAAAAAATAGAATTTGAACATCAAAAGTTGTGGTATTTCGTTCTCACAGCAGTCGTATGGAGCAGGAATTATTCCAATTTTTGCAGAAGAAACTTATCCTTAATGAGGCTAAATAACTTGTCTGCAGACACACAACCAATAAAGGCAGATCTCAGATCTAACTCCAAAGGCTGTGATCCTGCGCCTGCACCCACTGCAGCCTGCTCCATAACTTGATTATCGTCTCATTTTGTTCTTGAACTTCATTAAGAACAAAACAGGGTGGGTGGGGCAGGGAATTCCCAGGCAATACTTCTGCACTGAAGGGGGATCATACTGACTACACAACACGTTATACTTGGGCAGAGAGAGGAGCGTGATCTGGGCTCTGCGAAGGCCAGGTGGTCTGGGGCAGCTTGCTTTGTTCTCCTCTAGCGCCTCTGCCGTTTTTCTCCAGCATGGCTGTGGCGTGGGAAAGACGCTGAAGATGAACCTGCAACAAGCGACTCTGACACCAGTGCTAGGCTCTGCGGCCCACCGTGGGACTGACCAACCTCAGTCACAGGTGGCAGAGCTGGGGGCAGATCTGCACACAAGGGCTCTCGGTGATGACACGTGTAGCCAACACCTGGGCCCTGTTAACCAGGAAACAGCGAGGGCTGTAAGGTCAGGAGTGAGTGTTTAAGGACAGTCATTACTAAGAGTCCAAATCCTGTAAATTGAGGGGATTCGATGAGATTCTTTTCTGCTTTTCATTTCGGCCACACTTTTCCTTATCAACTTCTAATTGCCAGTATCCACAAACCCCTCCCTATGAGCCCTCACACAGGTGTCCCGCGGTGATCCGGAAACCACCTTCCACAATAGAGAGGCCCTGCTTAAGCTGTTATCTCTTCTGGAATACTCTCTCTCACCCTCCCATAGCTACCACCCCTCGGCCCCGCCTCTACCCACCGCCACTCCAGGGAACCCCAGTCAACCTCCCTTCAGCTCAGGAAAGCTTCCCCAAGTCTAGCCCAGCTTGCTAGAAGGTTAAGTCGTCCTCGCCAGCCTCAAGTTCTTGACGCCACTTACCTCACTTGGTCGTCAGTGTGGTTAGTTAATGTCTCTCCTGCAACCCATAAGGGACCATCTGGAGTCAAGCAGAGGGGCTGCACATATCGGGGGGCCACTGCCACTGAGGGAGCTAACAGAAGCCAGAGTCTGGGTCCCCACTCCTGGATTCTAAACTTTAATTCTTAACTCTCTGGAAGAAGAGATGAGAAGCCATTAACAATGCATGACTTTAATTAAACCCTCCAAAAGAAGAAGTGGAGAAAAAGTCATGTTAGTACTGAAATCCTTTGCCTTTCCAATTCCACTGGATAAAGGTCTAAGCCTTCCCAACAGAACCAGTTTTCTCCTCTGAGTCAGCTGAGCAATGATTCTTCTCTGAAACAAGCTGGTGGCTGTTCCCTACTAGGAAGCAGCCAGTTAGTTTGATAAGGGCTGGAAGAGGCTTGCTCTCCCTGGCACCATGCCAGAAGGCCACCTAGACCTGTAAGAAGGCAGCCCATGAAAACCCCAGCCTGCTAAGGGCTCTGCCATCCAAGTAGGGTGATGGGTTTTATCTGCCTCAGCCTAAGGACTCTAAGCAAACTGGCCGAAAGTGAAAGGGTTGGCAGGGCTGCCTGGGGAGAAAAACCGCCCACTCGGAAGGGAGGGTATGTCAGTCTTGTGAGTGCTGCCATTCAGGGAAAAGGTGTGGGAGGTACACTCCATCCTGGTCCATTTCTGTGCCCACATTCTACCTGGAAGCTTCCTCTCACGCCAGGGTGTTTTCATCTCCCTGGGCACACAGTGAATGAGAACACACAGGTTTTAATACCTGCTCGGCCCTAATTCTGAGAACAGGGACCTGCCACTTGCCCTGAATGGGCCTCAGTGTCTTCATGTGTAAGGAGAGGAGGCTGAAGTAGACTGCTCACAGTTCATTCAAATGCTCAGAGGGCTCGGGCAGGAAACCTGAGACACAAAAGCGGCAACAGCATGCAGCAGAAATACAGTGTCCTAGAGAGGCCATATTTTGTGTAAACGCATGTAAAATCAGATACATTAAAATTACTCTAGCAGGCATGGTGTCAGGCACCTGTAGTCCCAGCTACACAGGAGGCTGAGGTATGTGAATTGCTTGAGCCCGGGAAGCAGAGGTTGGCTGATACCGTGCCACTGCACTCCAGCCTGGGCTACAGAGTACAAACCTGTCTCAAAACAAAAACAAAAACTAGTGCAGGCCAAACACATCAAAGGGTCAAATGTAATCTATAGCTGTTGGTTAAAACAGTTTGGAGATTGCAAAGATAGCTTCTACTTCATTCTATAAATGACGCTTTGTCTTTAAAGCCTAGCATCATACCTAAAAAATAACATGGGAGGAAAATGGGAAGGTGAGGGAATCCTTGTTTATGAAATCCGTAAGCAAAGCCACTGAACAGACAGACCCTGGCCCCCAGATGCCTAACCCTGCTGGCTTGTGCTGTGCTACCAGTGTGTGCAAATCCAGAAAGTGGGGAGGTTCTGCCAAGGCAGCGCTGGGTGCTGAGTCATAGCTACTTACGTGACTGATGTGTGTTCCAGCCAGATGGGGGGAGCCGGAAGCCAAGCCCAGATGGCCATCTTCTTCCCTCTGGGAATGCTGATTTCAGGGATCCTGGCAGTGAGGAAGAGCTCATCTTGGTGAGAGAGGGGTCTGGGGAAGGCTCTTTTGAAAAAGGAGAATGTCTTGCCTTCCAGACAGTCCCAGGCCATTGCATGTATAAATTGAAAGGCCAGCCCAGCTTCCTGTCATTCTAGGCAGCAGCCTGGACATTGTGTCTTTAGCTATCAGGACAGGGGCTGTGGTTAATGAATCAGAGGGAAGGGTGATAAAAGGAAGAGTATATGCATGAGGGGCCAAGGGTGGAGGGGAGGGAGCATGGAGTTACTAGCTGGCCCAAAGTCCCCAGAAACCTCCATCAGGCTCTTCCTTCCTGGCAGGTTGGCCTTCAAAGGAGGACTCAGAACCCAGGGACCACTGCATTTCCCAGGCCCTGAGTCCCAGTGTGGGAATCACATCCTCCAAACCCACAGTGCCCCTCAAATTGCTACTCACGTAACAAGGCAATAAGTAACAGGCTTCTAAGCCTACGTGGACCCAGCATCAGTTCTTCTGGCTTCCCCTGTGTCAGAGGTATGGAGATCTAGGTTCCTAGGCAGCCACACTCCTAAAAGTTCAGTTTTCTGTCCCCCCCTTAACACTACTGACAAAAAACCCAGCCTCAGTCCCAGCACAGGGGTCCTGGGTCGGGACTGCTGGCTGGATGGAAGGTTGCACCAAGGCTACCCTGCCCCTGGGATGAGCTAGGGGGACAGGAAGAGATAGTGGAAGGCAAAGGGAAGGAAGAGGAATGGAATGAAGACTGGAGCCCGGGTGTCTCCATGTTCCCCCAGTAGAAGGGCTTAGCTCTGGCAGAGGAAGATGGGCATGGCTGAACTGCTTTCAAGGAAGCTAGTGCTTTCTGCAAGAGGAAAAATTATGCCAATGGTCTATTACACAAACACAATGCCCACCAGACAGTTCATGGGTCCAAACCAATGCAGATCCAAAGGCAAACCACCAACACTGCTTCCTGGTCATTCCTAAATCATCTGCTTGACCCAGTGGAAATGGACTAAAAAGTGCATAGTTTCAGGTGAAACTGAAACTATGGTGAGACGCCCCAAAGCCCAGCTTCCCCATCTCCCCCAGGCAGAGCTGGATGACCTCCTCCTTCAGCTACAGAGAAGTAACTAACAGATGCAGTATCCTACCAGGCACCACACTCACAAGACGGCATGCCTGCTCTCGCCGGGAGAAGCATGTTCCTGTTCCCAAGAGCTCTTCCAGAGGCATGCCCCAGCCTCTGCAGCACAGCCTCTGCTCCTCCCTGGAGGGAGAGCACAGCATCTCAAAGGACAGAGCATTTCAACACATCAAACACCCTCCACAGAGCACAGTCCAAGGTGGGCACCAGGAAGCCCAGGGTGCTTCCTGAACTAACCTCCAAGTGGCAGTTCTCCCCAGTACCTGGGCACTCACCTGGTCCACACACATCGACTGGGCACACCCTGTGATGTGATGTGGTTCCAATTCCCTAACAGAAGGGAGGGAGGCTGGACCGGACAGAGGGTTGGTCTGAGTCCAAAGCCAACTGTGAGCCCACTTTCTCTCCTTCCACTTTGATTGGCCCAGCTGGTAGCTGCACCTACAGTGCTATTCCAGCCTCATTCTGTTATCAGGACCTCTGTCTGCTGGGCTCAAGAACAGTGAGTGGCAAGAGAAGGGAGGAGGAGGAGGGAGGACAAACGAGGGAGGAAGGAGGAGAGAGGAGGGAGGAGAAAGGAGGGTGGGAGGGGCGAGGGAGAAGAGGTGGAGGAGGAAGTTTCACAGTCTACTGCATTCCCATCAGATCACAGAGAAGGGAACACGTACAACTTCCCCTTTCAAGCTCTTCTCTGCCCTCGCTTTTGTTTCAGTTCCTTCCCCTCTGGCCTGGGGATGGCGCGGCTAGTGGGCTATGCAGGGGCAGGCACCCAGGTACCCAGCCAACTGGGCTCTCGCCCGGCTCCATCTCAGGCCTGGCATGCTCCCTCAGGCCATTACCCGGCATGCCCTTCTCCTTGTCAGGGAGGCCGCGCCCTCTTGTTTTCAAAGTTTTATAACAGTATTGTTTGTTGTCCAGCAGATTAAATTCTTTGGAGGCTGGGGAGTTGAGGGAGAGGGAGTGAGAGAGAGGAGGGAAAAGAGAGAAGGAGAGAAAATACAAATAACTTCTATTAGGGCCAAAAGATTAAAAGAGTTTGCTTCTTAACACAAAGTTAACCTGTCTTGGAGACAGGCTAGCAGGCAGAAGCCTGTGTTCCCTTCTTCTCTGTCGATGCCTCTCCTCTCTGACACCCTTCTTACCTAGCAGGGGATGAACAGTCTCACACTTCCAACACCACTCCTTGGGTCAAGCTGAAAAGCAGTACCAGCTAATAAGGTTGGAAGATGCATGTGTGAGCACCACCCCTCCCAGCAGGACACATGATGTGGGGTTGAGCAGGTCCCTGCAAGGACATCCTAGACTCTCATCTCAGGCATCTGGCTGAGAAACAGTCCAGGTCTATGGGGGAAGGGCGTCTCCAGGCAGCTGCCGGGGCCCTTGTCTTAGAGATGGCTCATCCCTGCGTGAGCCAGTGGTTTGTTTACACTTGAAATCAAAGTCACACATTCATTGATGCCAATGACACTGGAAGAATGGTACCCCAAGGAAATAACAACACAACTGCATAAATATTCACGTAGACCTAAGCAATAAGAAAGAGTGGGAAATAGAAACGAAAAGAGAAAAAAGTCACTACAAATAAGCATCATCTTATGGACAGGACCCATTTCACTGCCCTCAGCCTGTCAGGCCTTTTGATGCTAAATCTGTAGGTGGTGATGACACAAAAGAATATATGATTTTCCATATTTAATACAACTCTCATTTAGCCATTAACTGATTTATTTCAGACTCTGGATTACCTCTAAATAGTATGCCCACTTGAACACATCCCTGTGCCTTTAGTATAGCAGGCACATGCCTGTGGCTCCCAGAGTTGAGGGCCTGCCCTGAGATGTTCCTCTCCCACCTCCTACCTTCTTCCCGGCAAACCATGTCTGGCCCTGTGTCCTCTACACTTCCCTCTTCCCTCTCTACTATAGGATTAGAGCAGCTCAGGGCTCTTTGCTGGAAAAGATGAGGGACAACGTGCCTTTCTCTTTTTTTATATGCAAATAATACCAGTTCCTATAAGATCGGTACCAGAAGTTCTCTCTGCAAAGGGAAACGAGGTCAAAGTTCCAGATTCAGTGACCATATTGGTGCAGCCTGCCCATGCATCTCCTCAATTCCACCCAGCTTGGGCTTGCCTTGAAGGCGGAAGGCAAAAATGGAGAGAGATGCCTGCTCTAGATCCTGGCACCCACACCTCATGCTGATCCAGGGACCATCTCGAAGTGCCACGGACTCAGGACTGGGAGGATCCTGTGGAGCACACCTAGTCTCCTACCTCAAATAAAGAGGCTTCATGTTTCCTCAGGAACCCTCAGCAGAAGTGATGCACAGTTCTCCCAGAAGTCCAGCCCAAATCACCCTCCTTGCTGTAAGTTATGCCCATTCTCTTTTCCATCCTTCAGGTGAACAGAATGAACTGGGTCCAACATGACAAATCTTCACACATGAAGCTACAGAAACCTTCACTCACTAAAACAATTCTGCTGTGGATTCCCCAACACTTCTGTAGGAACCAAAAATGCATTCAGGAAATACAAAAGGACAGACATTCAGACACACACACGTACACTGCCCTTGTCCAGCCTCCATCGTCCTAAAGGAATACCCCCCCAAAAAGCCTAAACCATCGTGGCTAAATTAGCTGTAAATAAAGATAAACCATTATTTCCACCTTCATACGAGTTCTGGGTCTATTCAAATAAAGGTCACTCAGAGGGCTAACTGGCCAAGAAGTCCTGCTGTCTAGTACTCTGCCTCAGCAGCCCTTATAAAGAGTGGGAGTTATGCTCTGCCTTTAAGGAAAACTGACACCCATGAGTCAGTAGGGCTTACCCACCTTTCTCTCTGTGGGTAAGCCATGCATTTTCAAGCCAATCATGAGGCAGACTCTCAGAGCTGAAGCCACTGTTTCTAGTCCCTTACTTACATTGTACATTAGCCAAGGCTTCCAGCAGGTACTGTACATTAGTCAACAAACAGGTAGCATACACACAACATGCATGCTGGGCAAGGCTCAGGGCATCCCTTACAAATGTGTTGGAAAAATCTCAAAGACCCCACACTAGGCCTCATCTCTAAGTGAGCTGGACTCAGCAGAAGCATGCCTATGTGCACAGGCGTGAGGTGCCATACAGATATGTCACAGTGGTTTGATGCATCACATATTCCAGAAGCTTCCAAATTCAGGAAACCTCTCCAAGAATACATGGTGAGTGGCTGGCTTCCCAGCCAAGAAGTGCAAGCCAGTTCTCACAAGAACTCCAAAAAGTCTAAAGAATCAAAGAGTTGGAGACCTGGACATGCTGATATTTAGTTTCCCTGTCAACATATAGAAAGGCCCTCTAAGGCCTTCAGAAATTAAGGAAACTGCTGAAGACTCCATTCCCCTATTCCTATCCCTGCTCCACTAATCAGAACCCAGGGAAATGACAGCTGAAGTCAGAAGACCTGGGTGGGAGATCCACGAGAAACAGCTGCAAGCAGTTAGATCTTGGCAGAACTGATTCTCTGGCTCAGTTTCACCAACGACAAGGATAAGACCACCTAACCTCTCAGGGTTGTATGAGGACCAAATGAGCCAGCAAGTGTGAAAAGAATTACGTGAGCTGATATGATGGTTATGACTCCATTCCTCTCCTGCCTGAGTCCCAGCCCAGATGGCTGTTTGCTATTCCATACTGGCAGTGGGGTGGCACTCAGCTATTATTAATCCCAGGTAAACATCCCACAAAGTGGCAAGCAGATAGTGTCTTAGAGAAATGCAGCTATTTTAAAACTCTATATTCTGCTTAGCAGATTGCACAATGTGCCCCCTCAGCCCTAGGGGCTCCTACCCACACAGCCTTGGAGCAGTGGTGGACGTCTGGAACTAACACTGCCATGGGGAAGCTAGGACAGAGTCCCACCCACTCCTAGCCCCAGTCTGGCTGGGCCTGGGACCTTGGGCTTTCCCACATGTGTTTTATTTTGCTATCTTTTTAAGAGTGACTCAAGACTAAAAAGCCAAAATGGAACCAGTGACTGAGATATTTTTGTTTTTTTTCTTTTGTCATTGTCATTTTTAAAATTTAATACTTTAGTTGAGGGCCTCAAAAAACACGTGAAAAGAAAAGGCTAAATATAAAGGAAAACTTCCTGACAGCAAGGGGCACAGACCCTCTAACAGATGCCCTTCCTCAATCTGCACAGCAGCATTCTCTCCAGGGTTAGAGCCAGACGGGACGGAGCTTCTTTTCTAGAGCAGGGTCTCTTGGGTTAGCCCCCTGCAGGACGGCAAGAGGCCCCAGCAGCTCCCACATGCCCCATCCCCAACAAGCCTCCCAGGGAAAGCCCACAGCCATGTCCCTTGCCACCTGGTGGATCTTCATCAACACCTTCGCGAAACCTCCAGCTCTCTGCTTCCACTTCTGGGAGATTCTTCAAAAACTACCTTCTTCCACCCACCTACCCATGCTAATTCCCACAGTGCCTCTTCAGCTGCTCTGAGATAGGTCATCAAGATCCCCTGCCTTCTCTTGTGGAAACCTGGGCCTAGTTTTCCTCATCCTGAATTGTTGGCTAAGAAACATTTCCATGAACATCCAGGGAGGCCCCAGGATATAGCTGGAACCTCCAAAGAGATTCTGGTTCCATTGCCTCATTTCATACATAATGAAACTGGAGCTCAAAGGAGGAAAGTGAGCTAGGACAAGAATCGAGGTCTACTGACTCCTTAACACAGAGCAACATAAACCCCACTTTCCTGACCCTCTTCCTCTCTGAGCACCCCTAACTATACTACCTCATTCCTGTGCAACTTCAGACCCCTGGCAGCAGATGGCAGTGTGGGCAGTCCCGGTGGGTCAGCTGTCCACGATCAGCCAAGGAGCAAAGAATCACATGGCCTGACTCCACAGGGCCACCGCCTCTTCCACCAAGTAAACAAGTCCCGAGCCCTGGAGCCCATGCGCTGAACACATGACACATGCCTGCCCTGTCCCAGCACCACCAACCTGCCTCCACCTCTCAAGACACAGAGCTCAACCAAGCATCCGGCACAGGCCACTTCTCTGCCTGCTGCCCAACCCTTCCCTATTGCATGATCATTAGCTCTGGGAATGGCTCATTCTGACAGGACAGGCTAAGCTCAGAACCACCTACAGGAACGTTTGACCAGTGGCTTGGCAAAGACCTAACCTGCACATTTCCCTGTGCTGCATGGACAAGAATAGGGTACAGTGACCAGGCTGAGGAAAGAAATCAGCTGGTGCCTGGGACGGCATGAGGCGGGAGGGCGTGAGGCAGAAGGCCAAGGGCAACCGTGGCAGATGGGAGAAAACCAGACTGCTGAAGACCAAAGGTTTGACAGGTACTCCACCTTGATTCCTGACTCACGACAAGCTCCTGTAAGCTATTATGGGGACCCTGGACAGATTTTCCTAGTTATTAGGAAAAAAGAGAGGGTTAGTCTGTGTTAGTCCTAACTCTCTGGAGGAAAGCATAACTGATGTGGCTTCAGGTGGCTGAAGTCCTGAATCTCTAGATCCCTCTGACCATCATCTGGACCCTCCTCCTCATGTGTGTGGGGGGAGTCCCCCTTTTCATCCCCAATCTCCATATATGTCTATCCTGTACGTTTCTGAATTCTTTTTAAAAATCACTATTAATAGTGTCTCCTCACACTAGAACGTATGCCCCACGACAGTGGAAACTTGGCTTTGTTGAGTTCTGCATCTCTATCACCTAGCACAGTCCCTGGCATAAAGCAGAGGCTCCGTACACAGCAGCGGATGCCATGTACTGGCCTTGCTCAGCTCTGCCAGTCCATGGCTACCAAAGGACATTTGCATCTGCCCTGCCCACCCCAAAAGAAATGCGGCACAACCATCCCCAGTGACTGGCAAGTTCCTCTGGGTGTCTGCCTTTCACTCTGGTTCACATCAGTCCTCTGAAGATTTTAGTTCACAAAAAATGTCTGACTTCAGCCCAAAAGAGTAAAGAGAAAGTAGAGGCTTTGGAATAAGTAGTACATGGATTTAAATCTCAACAACCTCACTTACCAAATGCATAACCTTGGGTTAAGTCACTTAATAATCAGTTTCTTTAACCATAAAAGGGAAGTGACTCCTACGTCATATGATTGTTCTGAGGATGAGATCAGATAAGGATAGGAGGGCCCTTAAAAAAGGTCAGTTTCCCGTTAGGGACCAACAACTCTGATGTCCATCTCATACCTTCAGGCCTCATTACAGACCCTGATCAGGGCACCATCCTGCCTTCAGCACCTGGCACTCAGATGCAGATCCTTCACAGGAGATGCACACATCCATCCTGGGCCACGACAGGCAGTCCCGGCTAAGCACTGGGCTTGTCCTCCCACACCCTCTTGGGCTCGCTCCTGTGAGCTAACCACGTATATCTCCTCCCCACGTGGCTCTATCTGCCCCCATGTCCCCACTCCACCCCCACGGGCTTGACACTATGGCACTGGGCTCTGCATAGGCCATGGGGCACTGGAGATGTTCTCTGGCTTTATCAGCCCATGAGAAGCTCTTGTGGAAGGAGCCAGTAAGAAAGCAAACTCAGTCTATGCTTCCCTCACAGTCACTCCAAGTCTCAGAAAAGCAAAGCAAAATGAGGGCCTCCCACAGACAGCCGGCTGGTGGGAAAGGGCGGTATCTCTTACATATCTCAGAGGGAGGCAACATGCCCAAAAAAGTGACCAGCACAAGGTACAGATCCTCTTTAAAGCTGTGGCTGCAACCTCAGGGACACTCAAGCCAGGGGACAGTGCCAAGATATGCATTAAACAATTCACAGCACTGATCGGACCAGGATTCAATGGAATAGAGAAGGTGCTGACCAATCAGGGCCCCTGGCAGGGCCTCTCCCCCACAACTCCCAGCCAAGCCACACCACCTCGGCTCCAGAGCCACCAGCTCTGTTAACCTCTGCTGGATCCGGGATGGAGAGGCCCCATGCTGCCTCCTGGCTCCCAGACCTCAGAAATTCAAAGGTAAGGAAAAAAGTGCCAGATACGTTGGCCCCTCTCTGAGGGGATACCAACTGTTCTGCTAGCCTCATTGGCAACACACAATACCCCACGTCGTGTCTATAGAACCCAGGCTGGTGAGCAAGGAGAACAGAACCAGATGAGGCACAAAAATAGGAAAATCAGGAGGGAAACACCAATCCCAATTCTGGAAACATCAGAGGCCACAGAGACAACTGCATGGCCAGGAGCAAAACCAACCTCCCCTTTACTTCCCACCCTGGTTTTCCCAATCTAACCAAGGACAGGGCTATTCATGGGAGTGGGGGTCACCAAGAGCTATGCCCAGGGACGCACTGCACATGTGAGGGCTGAGACTCCCAAGCACAGCCAGCAGCTACATCTGGCTCCGGCCCTACAGCCAGCACTGGCCAGACTCTAGCCAATACTCCTTGAGGGCCTTGGCTCACTCCTCTTAAGTCTCCCCAGCTGCACCCAAGTTGATATCTCTCCATTCTAACACCCACTGCCATCCCTCACTGCAGTACTGCTGGAGGGCTGAGACCTGTCAGAGCCCTTAAAGGAAGAGACATCAGACTCTTCCAAATAGCCCTGGATCCCTCAGGCTGCTCACAGCCAACCTAGAGACTCATCTCAAATGGATAGAGAAGAAGATAAAAATAACAGGAAGCAGAATTGGCCAGTCTTCCCTGGATAGCGACGGGAGCAGCATGGGGAAGAGAAACTTCCACCCCGACTGTGACATATGAGCAGAGAGAGGTGACCACTGTGTGGCCAGAGGTAGGATCCCATAGGTGCCTCCGAAAATTACCCAACATCATTCTTTTTCTCTTTAGAGCTCAGACCAATCTGCTGTTGGCTAGTTCCAGCTGGCTCTACTGGCCAAGAACGCTGTAGTCATCTACTCAGCAGGAGAGAGACTTCCTGGTGATGGGCAGGCACCAGGAGTCTGCTTTGTGAATTGTATCAATGATGCAACTGACCTCCCCCATTCTGCAGGCCATCATCGTTTTTCATTTTTAATCACCATTGCTATTATTGTGACCAGCAACAAGTGAGGCAGACAAAAAGCATTTGTCAACTGTCTAGAAATGCTTTGCAATGGCTTACTGGATCAGGGATTTTGTTTTTTAAGGCAAAGGTAATGAAGTCCTAGAGGCAGAAAGTGGCTCATTGAAAGAAGCCCCCAAAGTAGGGAAAGAGACCTAAAGCTCACTGCTTAGCCCAGTTCAAACTCCAGACCACCAACCTAGACTAAGCCCGATCAAGGCAAAATGTATCTGGAGTGAGACAGGCCATCCACTGAGACTACACAGGGAAGAGAATCTCCAGGCCCCAGGAAGGCTCCCAGGATTACCGAGGGGTTAAATCCAGAACCTCCTGCTGGATGCTGGAGCTAAGGAGAGCTTCTATTCACTTACTGTGGGAGGCCCAAATGCTCTGCCAACTGCCACACCTAGCAATGCTCCCAGCCATCTCCCACACATCCGCACAGCCCGACCACTTCAGCTGCCCATCCTGCCCCCATTCCTGTGCTCATTACTAACCCCATTCACAGAAAAGCCAGAAGCAAAAGGAGAATGCAAAAAAGAGAACAATTGTTTGGGAGATTCTGAATGGAGTTGTCTGAGGTTCCCCCGCGGAATAAGAAAAATGGTGTTCATGGGAAGGAATGAGGCTGGGGGAAGGCTAGAGGGAGCAGCCCATGCTGGACTTACCTGGGAGGCAGGTAGTGGAGTGGTTAAATCCTATTTGCTTGCTGCATCTGGTTTCCAATAAGCAACTTGGTGATGATTCACTGAGAAGACTGGGGTCATGTCACAACACTCAGCACACTTGTGGTCACAAAATCATAAAAATTGGTGGCTCAACAGCACCTATGAGAGGAAAGGGGAATAGCCAACCCATCTTGCCCTGAACCAGCCAGCCCAAATGCTCACCCACCACCAAAACTCCTTTCAAGGACAGCTGAGCCCAATCTGCCCAACTGCAGCCAGATCTCCAGAAACCCCAAACGGGGGTAAGGATGGAGAGCAGACACAGGTCCAGGATGCCAGTCACTGAGTTTGCCCTCATATATCCTAAAGAAAATCAAAGGGAGGAGGAAGTGGTGGAAGAAGGCAGAGAATACAAGAGGTCAGAAAGAAGGAAAAGAGAGGTCAAAAGACGTCCTTGGGTAAAGCATGGCAAACAGGAAAGCAGGAAGAGAAAGCAGAGGCTGGTCTTTGACACAGGCCACAACTGTACCTTCAGCTACATCACGTGCCCCTAGCTTCTCTCCCTCCAAACTCAATATCCACTGGAGAGCTATCAGCCCCTCCTGTACCTCATCCCACATCAGCACACTCATCTAGCATGACCTTTCAATCTATCAGCATCTGAAATACAGGAGGAAAGTAAGCAGCCCTGAACCAGACAGACACACATACATACACACGCACACACGCGCACACACACACACACAAACACCCCTTCCCAGATTAAAAGGCCCTTGGAGATGGCTCACGCTCTCTAGGTTCTGGTTCTCTGATAGAAGTGCTCCACTCCCACAGGGGAGGGCAGACACGTCTGATAAGAATTGCTTAGCACAATGCTATATATAGTCTAGGTTCCTACCAGCCTGGAGATGTGGAGCTAGAACTTGGCAGAGAACCATGCTAGGTGCTGGCAAGGACCATCCTCCCGCTGCCAGCCAATGGGAAGCCTCACTTCCCGGCCGGGGGCTGTGAGGGCACGCAGGGTCCTTCCAGGCAGCCCATTAACACTCCTCACTGAGGGACACAGGCTGTTGGCTCCGTTTTAGGGAAAATCAACTTCTCCTAAATGTGAGGGGGATGTGTGGGGGCTGAACAGCAAATTCTAGCCTCTCTGCAGCTATCCAGTAGCATGAGAATATCAATCTAGTCCTCTCTTCTGGAGGACTAAGGGCGGGGTGTGTGGGAGAAGCCTGAAGAAGACATAGCAGGTGGCTGGGCTCAATAAACATCTATCCATTTCTGATGTTCGAAGAAATAAAGGAATGTAAAAGAATGCAGACGAATACTTACTGCAGAGTGTGGGGCTGCCAGGCATCTCCTTTTTTTGTTCCAAATACATGCAAGTGAGCCACTCTATCCGGCAGTATGACGGCTGTCTCCGGCACACTGGCACCATCCTCAGCTGAGCCTGAGTCGCCAAGAGGTTGTCACCCACTCACAAAGCAAGCTGCATTCTCCTGAGTCCTCTGTGAGGAAGAAGAGAGAAAGGAAGACAGGTGGGCTCAGCTCACAGAGCCAACCATGCAATGAATTGAGCAGATCCCAGGCAGGGTCCCATCTAAGGTTCGTACGTGGCTGTGGGATGATGACCCTCAGGTGTTGTCCACCACCCAATGACAGAAACAAGACAATGCTGGGCAAAGTGACATGGGTCCTATGTCCTGGAGAAAGGGCAGTAATAGAGGGTAGAGGGTCTGATGAAGGAGGGCCTGTCTACCACCTCTTTCAGAAAACGATCCTGAGAGACCACAGAGCTGCCCGAAGCCCAAAATCCAGGCTCTTGTCATATACACAGCTTCGGACAAAAAAAAAAAAAAAAAAATGAGACACGAAAGGTTCCAATGTGCAAATACATACAATCTTTTTAGGTCAAGCTGCTCTCTACTCGGGTGCAAAACATGACACGAAGGGGCCGTGTCTGCCTTTGCGCTCTGGGTGGGGACGGCTGACTCCCATCCCCTGTCCTGCTTAAACTCTCTCATGTGACCTGGTCACATCTCCCTGTCCTGCTCTGGCTCCCAAGGCCCAGGAGCCACTCCTACCAGAGATCCCAAATGAGTCACCCTGGGAGGTCCTTGGAGAGAAGAGGAGGTGCTCAGTGACAAATGTCACTGCTAGCATCATCAGCGGGAAAGCATGAGACTGAAAAATAGTACCCGGTGAAAGAAGGGAGGGGGCTTCGGCCAGGTTGTCCCTCATCCCTATACGCGACTGGCTGCCCCTCTGCCCCACACTCTCGCTGAGGAGGCAAAGAAAGGGGAGGACGGTTTGGCCGTGATTCCTCGGCGGTGGAAGCGCATCTTCTTTCTCGGTCGCAAAAGGGCGGGGCAAGGCGGGGCCGGGCGGGGCGGGGGGATCACGCGCCTGTGGCGCATGGTTGCGGTATCGAGAAAAGTCTGGAACCCGCAGCCGCCATGATGACGACAACAAAATTAAAAGGGTCAAGTACTTAAGGCCCACTGTTTCACCTAAGAGGACAATGAGGAAGATGAAGGGGAGAAGAGAAGCTCTGATTTGGGTCAATAAGGAAAGGCGAGGCTGACGCAGGCTGCCCAAGAGCCGGCCTTTGGCGCATTGACGGTGATGCGGTTCCGCCATCTTGAAGGGCCGCGCGGCAGAGAACGCTGAAGACGCCACAGCCCCACCACGGCCACTTCTCCCGGGGTCCAGGCGCGCCCGCGTTCGCTGAGGTCGTTCTGGCCAGCCCCCACCCTAAGAGGCGAATCGCCCTTCATTCAAGGCAGTGACCACCAAGACTGTCACAAACAACCACAGTGAGAAATCCCAAAGGGCTTTCTTTGAGAGACGTCTGTCTTCTGGGACTAAGTGGAAGAACTCAAAAAATGACCCTATTTGCCAAACTCAGATCTAACAACACACACAGCTGTTATTTTCTTTTCAGACTCTAAATGCAAGAGTTCACAGAGCCCTGCTGAGTTACCTGGTGTCGCCCCATCCTGCTGCCCGGGCAGCGGGTGCCTTCGCTGTCCAGTCCTCCCTGAAAATGACCCCAGGCTAAGGATCAGCCCAGAGCCCCAAGCTGTTTTTGCAGCTTTCATGTTGACAGAACATCCTGGCCACTCTGCTGAGAGCTCCATCTCCCGGCTCCCGATACACTGAGTCATCTTCCAAAGAGGAAAAAAAACAACAAAGCAGCCGTCACCAGGGTCCCCATTGCCGTCGACTGACGACTCACTGGCTGTCGTCACTCTGCTCCGCGGCCCCCGAATTGGTGACGAGGGGCTTCAGGGTGCCCAACTCCCCTCCCACGGGACTCGGCAGCATCAGGAAGCAGGCAGCCACTGCTGAGATTCGGAAAGAAGGGAAACTAACCTGCCACGAGAAGACTCCCAGGAAGGCTCACTGACCCTCCCTCTGCCGACACCAACCCCCACAACTCTGTGCCCACAGCATGTTCCCGATGCAGAAGTAAAGGGGTATTTACGCCAGGTGGGAGACAGCACCGCCTTGCAGGGTTGAGGTGCGTAATGCTTGTTACCTCCTCCCTGCCCTTTCTGTGACACCACTTAGGGCACAGGAGCTCCCATCTCCCCCATTTCTTGTCTAGCCCCCCAACACTCCCCTATGAAGTCCCTGATAAACCACTAGGCAGGGATGGGAACCTATTTGCTGCCAATATATTAGGCATTTCTGTGTAACAATTGTACTGGCTCCAACTCACTGACCGAGGACACGAAAACTTAGAGAAATCATATGACCTGTCTAAAGTGACCCAGCTAAGAAGAGGCAGGATGACAATGAAAACCTAGGTCTATCCAAGTCCAGTGTCTCTGCTCCCTGCTCTCTAATTCTGGAGCTTATTCTGGCTTTGAAGTTGCTATACCCCACTCCACCTTCTTGTAGGAGGAAGGCAACCAGGATAACTGAGTCAGTTAACCCATCAATTTCAGCTACAAAAAAACAAAAAACAAACAAACAGAAAACGCCATCATCTTGAGTGAACCTGACCACAAAGGAAGAGGAGAAAGTTAATGACAGTGTCAAGGAACAGCTAGGTGACCTAGACCATGGACACAAGATTGACCACCCAAACTCCCACAGAGCATTAGGGACTTAAAAAATTCCTTAAATAGACAAATTTTGGGGATCTACTTCATAACAGGCATCTTGTAAAGAGTTCGGGGAAGAAAAATGTAAAGACGTTGGAAGACCAGGGATGCTCCGCACAGGGCTATGGAAAGGAATAAATGAAATAACTGCAGGAAAAGTGTCTAACATGGTATCTGTCAAACAGAAGGTACCAAATGGGTATTTGTTTTCCCTCTCCTTTCTCTAGCCTCCCTCCTAGAGCTCCTAATCTAATAGGTGACATAAGATTTATACACAAAGAATCATAACAAGAATACCATAAAAAGGGACAGACCGTGTGCAAGTTCGGCCGAATGGGCGGGGGTGGTTATGAGAACTGCTGCTTGCAAAGGCAATCAGGAGAGGTCCATGGAGAAAGTGAGACTGCCACAGGTGGACGAAGAGGAGAGGAGGCGTGGAAAACATCATTGGTGAAAACACATAGGAAAAGCAAGAAAAAGGAAGTTGCTTGGTTTTGTTGGAAACTGTGGTCCACCAAGAGAAACTGAGAGAGGTAAGACTGTACAGGAAAGCTAAGGCCAGTTACGGATAGCATTGAACATCACGCTAAAGGAAAGGAATTTTACTCTGGGAATGATGAGAAACCATTTTAACTTTCTGAGCAAGAAAGACAAGATGGCCGCTGCACGCAGAAGGGCCTGGAGAGAGGGGGAATGGGCAGGAGCCTCACAAGAGGACTACAGCTGGAACCATGGCACTGACAGGAGGCATGGAGGAGAAACAGAGAAGAAAAACAGTAAGCAGGCAGGACCATCTGAACAGATCCTCAATGCTGCCATGGACCTTACTTCCCTGTCCCCACGGGGAGGCTGCTGGAGACAGAGCCTATTTGGGGAACACAAACCACGGGTCTGACACGTCTGAGATGAGCTGCCGAGCCTCTGCCTCCACTCTCACCCAGACACTCAGCTTTTCCTAACTACTCAAAGCCTCAGGCTGATGTGGACGTGGGAAACCCACATTCTGGCAAAGCCGGGCCCAAATAGTGAGCCCCTACCCAGACACCTTCCACCTGAATCCCCACCCAGGACTGTGTCCAAGAGTGGGACTGGGCGGCTCTGCCCCTGGAGCCACCTTCACTGCGGCAGCCACCACTGCGCCCGCCTCTGCTGTGCTTTTGCCCCCCCTTCCCCTCCTCCGTCATAGCCCCCGCCCCCCGCCCACTCTGCGGAACTGGCACAGCAGGACAGAAAAACCAACGCCACCATGTCGGAGACCAGCAGAAATGGCTCCAAAATGGCAGCTCATCAGAGGAGTCCAGAAAGATGATAAACGCACTCAGGAAAAGGAGGGGAAGCCAGTGACAAGGGGCGTAAACTGTCAAAACTGCCTCCCAACCAAGCCCTCCCATAATCATCACATCTTTTCCTTCAGAAACATCCTCTCAAAAATCAGATGGGACATGAGTGAAAGAAGGGTGCCACCCTCTCCACCAGAGAGGCCCTAGGGCCCAGAGGTGGTATATGGGGTACTCAGAAGAGGATGTTCTACAGCCCCTTCACCAAGATGGGGCTAGAAAACCACTTCTGTCCTCAAACTTAGCTCCTCACACTAACTGGACATGAGTTAGCCCTCCCAGGGATTGCAATCCTCCACCGCTCCCCAGTCAGACCCTCCCCAGCTTTGTGGGCCCTGGGGAGTGAGAAGGTAGGGTTGCAAGGAAGGGCCGAGAAGGCGCGTGCCATGCCCTCAAGTTATGTAATAAGAAGGGCGGTGCTCGTCCTAGGCCAGAGACCCAGGGCGCACTGCGCTCCCAGATGCGCAGTCATGGGTGGGGGCCACTGCGCATGGCGCAGCACTTGGTAAACCCCCTCCCCACAAACGTGAGACCTGCAACAAGGACAGGTTAGAGAGCAGGGACCCTGATTTTTTGAGGCCTCCCTCCCCCAACCAAAGGTGAACAGCCTGCTGCCCTAGTTTTACTCTGACTCTCCTCATTCCCTAGACTGACAAACCTTTCTAGCCCGGGGCATCCAAACCACCCATCTCCCACTGACTTTTCTGGAAATCCCACCAAATACGCAGTTTCCAAGCAATTTCCTGGGGTCAGTCCCCCATCCTCACCTTTCCAAGCACCAAGTAGTAGTAGCTTCCAGAAGGTACATCTTTCCCATACTGGGCTCAGCTCACAACTGGCTCCTATGGGCCTCTGGACAGCCCCGGACGTCAATGCAAATCTCTTGTCCCCAGGGAGTAGCCCAGAGTCAGCAGGAAGCCCAGGGTGGTGGTAATATCAGCAGCAGCAGCTCTGCCCTACCTTGCCCATGCGTTTCCAGGGGAGCCGAGAATTATTTTGCCGCAACACTGAGGTGTGGCTGATTGGAAAATTTCCTTTTTCAACATCAAACTACAGGATAAATATTTTCTTCCAATTTGGTCAACCCTCTGCACACCCATCTCCCTAGCATTCTTCCCTCTAAATAAAGTTTTGAGAGCCCTGAGCTCTTCTTCCTTATAGTGCATGAAATTTTAAAAGGCATAGGAAGAGGCTTCAACTGGGCAGTCAAAAGCAGGCATAGACACAGGAGCCTACGCACACCCCTAAAGAGATTTTAGAAAGCTGCTGGGCTTCTCCCCCCTCCCCTTTAAGCAAGTGAAATGCAAATTCAGATTTGATACCCTGCCCTGAGCCAATCACAAAAAGCTTTTCACCTGCCATTGGCCCAGCCACCAATCAGAGGAAGTGTCTGGAGGGAGAGCCCTCCCCTGGCCAATGGAAGGCCAGCTCAGTCACTTAGTTAATGATGCAGCAGTACAGGGAAGGCCATCACATGTGAACTGGAAGGGAGCCAACATGGAGACACAGAGAGCGCAAGGTAAACAACTTTCCAACGCCAAAAGGATGACATTTAATCTCTAAATGCTAGCTTCCCTTCTCAGCTCATCCTTAACCCCTCTCAGCTGGCCGCAGAGGCCACAGGAGCCTCACTACCTGTCCCCCAAGAGCTCCTAACCAGATGCAACAGTGACTGCGTCACCATTCCCCACTTTTCCCAACTACGCAGTGACAAACCTACCAGCTTTACCCCACTTCTCCCAGCCCACACCCCACCCTGGCCACTCGGCTCCCCACAAGCCTCAGATTGCCAGGGCCAGACCTTTCAATAAGGCAACCCCTGGGAAAAAACTGTCCCTCTGTCTTTTCGGCACTTCTCACTCCCCTACCTTCCACGTAAGACCTGCACGGACAGACAGATGGACGCTGACACCCAAACAACCTGGAGAACCAGTCATCTGTCCACTAGAAGGAAATAGGGTAAAGGCTGGGAGGTCAGGTGGGAAGCAGGGGATGGTTCACTCTTCTCTACCCCGGTCAGGCTTGAGCAGCTGACACTAGGGGAAAGAAATTAAAGTGGGAAAAAACCCTCCCTCAGAGAAATAAATAGCCAAAATCGAGAAAGAAGGTGAGAAAGACAGAGCACCCACATACACAGAGACAGCGTCCCTGATCCCAGTAAATACATACGTGGGGGAAGAAGGGGGTTACGCCATCAAGTCCTGAAGCCCGTCGGACCACCCATCGTCGCCTGCGCAGACCCAAATCTCGGTCCCGCCGTAAGGTGCCGCAGTCCCGAATGTTCCAGAATTTGGTCCCGTCAAACCTTCCACTGTTGCCCCGCAACCTCTTGCTCCCACCCCTGCCCCCCACCACCACCCCACCTCCTCCCCGCGGGAACCGCCCGTGCCACCTTGCGTGTCATCTCCTAGCCTAGGCTACCCAGAGGCCTCTGGCCCCGACAGATCTCTGAACGCTCAGCAAGTGAGCTGGCAGAACCTGGTGCCGGTGTTGCTATGACTTGTTTCTTGATTTCTCTCTCTCTCTCTGCTGCAGCACGGCTGTTGCTAGCAGACCTATCGACGGAGCTTGCTCACACTCTCTCTCTCTCTCTCTCTCTCTCTCTCTCTCTCTCTCTCTGAGCTCTGTGACGCAGATCTAAATTCTCCAGTCTGCTCCTTGTGTTGCAAGAGCAGAACTGCAGCTTTTCCCCTGGAGAGTCGGAGGGCAGTGCCAAGGCTGGTCAAACAAGGCAAAAAAAAGTTGGGCCTACACTCTGCTTCCTTGGCCACACTTTTCAGCTCGCCCCCTCCCACCCCACCCCTCTGCACCTCACTGCTCTGGGGCATAGAGGTCCCTGTCCTTGCAGGCTCACTCCTTCCCTGAGGGCTTCCCAGGCATAAGACTAGCTTAACTCTTTGAGTGGCAGCCCCCAGCGCCCAGACAGGGCTGCCCCATACTAAATGTTGCAACATCTTTTCTTGAGCCATATGGGCTTCTCCAGCCCTGAGAAAAAATGTTCCTCACCCTGACCACTGTCCCATTAACTCTTTGTGCCACAGACAAGTCCAGGATTACAACCATAGCTGACTTCTGGTTTTTTTTTTTGGCCACAAACCAGGACCTTTTTCTCCCTGGAATTTCCTAAGGACAAAAAGCATAATTAAAACATTGCCTGCCTGCCCCACAAATGAGATCCTTCTATCAGGGCAGGAATTTGAAAAACCAAATTGAACTTCAGCCTGAAGAATCCAGAGTAAAGCCAATCTGGATGTCCATTCTTCCCGGGCTCAAGATTTTAGGGCCTTGTTAGATACGTTCAATTACTCTTCAAAAGGCCATACAGTCTCAGAGATTCAGGTTGCTGAGTCATTTGTTCCCAAGAAGATCTTTCTGACAACACGAAAAGCAGCAAAACAGAACAACAGCCAAGCTTGGACCTGAAGTGGCCAATGACTGTGTTCTCCTCTCCAGCATGGGCAGTCAAGCAAGATAAGCATCCACCAGCCGACCCCAAACCCCTCCACAATGTTCATGCATGGATGTCGACACTCCTGGAAACTCTTCCACGGAGGGGCGGCCCACCAATACTCTGGAGCTAGAGTGGGGTTGTTTTTGGATACTCACAGGTCTCCACTGCGGCAAGCAAAGAGCTCCCAACATTTTCCTGCCCCTCCCCACAGACCCAAAAATGCTTCCAGGAATAACTGAGATGCTAAGCCACTAGACCCTACATACCCAGACAGACCCAGGGAGTGTCAGGTTCCCACAGTGCTACATCAAAAGAATGCAGAAAGGTTCCTGACAACCAGTTGTAATGTATGAGCCTAGACTTGACCAGAAGTGAGTGATACATTCAGGTCGTGGGTCAGGTGACTCATGAAGTGTATCACATCAAGAACTTTGCACTTCCAGGAAGATGAATGAGAACGTGAGGCCAGGCAGCCACCTAATCCCATATCCACTTCCCAGGCAGCCTTCAAGCAACTACTCTGGGCCAAAGTTTCATCCAGCAGAAAGGAGGACCACTTGGAAGACAAGCATGGCACTACACAGTTTTAAAAGAAGACTAGAGCATCTGTGCCAGGCTCCCAGCAGGGGGGAAAGTGCTTCAGATTCACACCTTCTGGGCTCCAGGGTTGAGCATGCCAATAAAGAAGTCGCCTACTTGTCTGATGACCAAAGGAACGTGGCCTTGATGGCACTAAAGCAAGTCCCCCAGAATGGTCCTCTGCTTACTTAAATCTCATCTGCCGTAGTTTCCTTCTCCATGGAAGAAAAACATGCCTAAGTTCATGTCAGGACATTCCTGATTTATCCAAGAGCCCAGGATCAAATAAACAAAGGGCTCTGAGCTCTGCCAGGGAGCCTCCTCCTTCAGGAGGGAGAACTAGAGGGAAGTAGGCTTGGTACAGAGCTGGCCCATCACCCCATGAACTTGGTGAGTGACGTGGCTGCTTACTGCCATGGCGATGGGGATGTTACGGGTGGGTGGAAGTGAGAGAAGAGGCAAATAAGTCATGAGAGACAGAGCGAAAGCCAGGCAGGGTCAGAGAAGGAACCTACACAGCAACAGAATTTAGAGAGGCCGACTGTAGTCTATAACCGCAGCAAAATTGAGCTGAGTCCCTGCAAAGATAAGTCCCCATCTCAGGGGTGCAGCAAGGACCCACTGTGACTCAAAAAGCACTATGCCAACATTACATTTAGCAAGGCTTTGTTTCATTTTCCCTCTAAATCTTTTCCTTCCCATGACTCCGTTGATAACGGCTTTGATGACTAGAGGAACGCTAGGGTTTTTGGTTTTGCGGTGGTTTGAATAAAATGGCCCGGACATATGTGGAGTCATTTTAAGGAGTGGAGAATTTCATAGGCAAGACAGAAGGAAGAGGCTTTTCCTGTACGGAGACAGAGGGAAGGGGGCTTTAGGCTGAAAGAGGGAAACTTGAGTGTGCAGAAAACAGCCAGTTATATGAGGAGGCAGGAGGAGGCAGGATTAAAACAGTCATTTTAGGTGCCTCTGTCCAATTCTAGGTCTTCCTTCTATTAACCTGATTCTACGAGGCGCTGAGAACAGAAAAACCCGAATGGGATGACCAGGAAGCAGAAATGAATTCAGTTCCAAAAACATGGGAGGATGTTTACTTAGCAAGCATGCTCGAGCCTACAAGGAAGCAGTTTTACAGGGTGCTGCATACAGTGTTTGATTTCAGGGAGCAAAGATAACTTCGGAGTGAGGAAAAGGTACTGGTTCCTTCTACTCACCCTTGGAGGCCTGGAGAGGCCAGGCCAGCACAAACTTGAAAAGACAGGGCTTCAGCTCAAGCCTAACAGGTCGCTGGCTCTCTTTGGCTTCTCAGCAGCTACCGGCCTCAGGAACTAAACAAACTCTCCAGACTTCATGAGCGTTCCGTGACCTCTGACTGATTTGGGTCAAAACTTCGAAATGCCAAAGACAAAGAATTTTTTTTCTTTAAAGGGAATGAGCTGAACTTTGACCCGCCCTTGTTCAGGGTGTGGAATGCAAGCACTGTGTACCGGCCACAAACTCTAGTTCGGCAGGCAACAGCCGGGAAAGCAGGCTTCACGCTGACCTCCCTGTCCTGTTTCTTCTTTAGGGCCAACTCAACGGGGTCTAGGTCTTTACCTCGCTCTTCAGATAGGGGAGCTGTGAAGGAGACAGATTCCAATCTCTGTCATCTAGAGCTAGAGTGGATGTTCTAAATAAATCTGGCAGCGATCCGGTATCAGGCAGAACTGACAGGCCCAATCCACAGCAAGATGGCATTTCTGTTCACTGCCTGGGAGCTGGTGGACAACAGGTATTTGGTTACCCTCTGAGGTACATCATTAATAAGTACCTACTAAGTGCTAACCCAATATATAGCACAGGAAAAGCACGAGACACAGGCCATCATGGAGAACACACACATTCTAGCTGAAACTAAGTATTCCCAAATTTGTATTGCTGATATTTAAAACATCTGCTTACTTTAAAAGCTGAGATCCACTTTTGCAGTGAAATGATATCAAGCATACTGCTTGGTTCCCAGGCTAGCTCACAAAAGCGCATTTATCCATTCCAGGAAGTCATCAACTCCAACGTCTTCAGAGGCCAGGCAGATAATGAAAGAGCACAGTGGGCTGCGGAGGGGACGTGCCCGGTGGAAGGACCGTGCCACTCCTGATGGGCCGCCCTCTTGGGCCTACCTGCTGGGGACCATCTGGGAACAGAGACCCAAAGAGTCCAGATCATCCAGGTTTTCAGGACAAGGTGGAACTAGCTTTATATTAAACTCCTGATTTTTTTTTTTAACACTGTCAAGATATTTTAACTGTCAGAACATACCTACAGAGCTTTCAGTTTGGTATCCTGGTTGTCATGTATACAGGATACAATACATTTGCAATGAAAAAAAGAAAAAAAAAGCAAGCATTGCCAGAGTGAGGAATTAAATAAAATAAAGGACATGACCAAAAAGGAAAACTTTACCTCACAGATGTGCTATTTGAGGAAAATAATAAACATAGAGGAAAATGAGGAAAATTTAAACCTTCTGGTCAATGGCTGTCAACTAGCTGTGCCCTGAGGGCTGCAGATGGAGAGGTATATTGAAATGACTTCCAAGTATATGTGATTTCACTGAAGTACTAATAATATGTGTGCCCCATCCTGACCTGCAGAAAAGTCATGCTGATATACTGGCTCTATCCCCCAGTTGAGAGTGCTCCTCTGGACATCCACAAAAGGTCCATCCAGGGCTTTGGTGATAAGATTGGAAGGGCTTATCATAATCCAGCTGCCCATCCAAGGCACAGGGCCCTCCACAGAAACCACCGTGACCAAGTCATTGTCTAGCCCCCACTTGATTCAGTAACTCCCACCACACCTTTGGAGGGCTCAGACAAGTGGAACGTAACTGAGATGAAATCTCTCTGCAGGGAAATATTAGCCTTCATATCTCCACTCTGCCTCTGGAGCCCCAGAGAACAAGCCTACTCCCACAAAGACTTTTGAGACATTTTGGGATAGTTTTTACAACCACAAGTTTTTAGGCTAAACAAGAAGATACAAAAAGGGATATTAAAAAGGAAGGGCGGGGGGAAGAAGCCAGAAATATTCTTGAAATAGCTCATCAATAGTTAACAAGCCAAAGGAAAAGAGGAAGAGACACAGG